TTTTAAAAATATTAAATGATTAATAATGTAAATAATAATTGCATTTAAAATATACTGACATTAAATTAAAGCTTTTGATTATTTGTTGCGTTTAAACAAAAACGTAACCAAAAATTGCATTTAACAGTAAAACGAGCCGTGCATTCAGTCATTCATATAATCCAATCACCTTTTTTGGCGACCGAAGAGTCCACTGAACCGATCGATTGCAGCAATTTTCTAGCGGTCGACGTCTGGCCGCCGATCAGCGCGTTGTTGGCCGTCGACGACACCGGCGATGGTTTCGAGAATGTCTGCAATTCGTCCAGAAGTGAGTCCAAGACATTGGTTTTGGAGGCGTCGGCGGGCAGAGGGGTGGCCGGAGTCACCTGAATGATAGTGTGCGGCTCCATCTCCGTGTCATACATCTGCTCAGATCGACAAATGTTTGGTAAAACAAAAAGTTAATACAAAATGCATACCATTTAAAAGACTAATCACTCCTAATTCTACTGACACTTATTTATGGCATTTTATAATTACTTTTCTATATTCAAAATCAATGGCTGTTTTCAATTTATTGCCCGGAATTGGCAACAAATGTATTGCAACAAAAATTAGATATACATTAATATATCTACAATACATATGAATGGATGAATGAATAAAACAAAATGAATGAATGAATGTGTGATAAAGAATGATGAAAATGATTTGGAAGAATAAAATGGATGAATGAGAGAGTGATATATAATGGGATGAGATATAGAGTTTGGTGTCTAAGAAACGGACGGACCTGATTGTCGGCATTATTCTCTGAGTGTTCTGGCATTGTAGGCATCGATGCGAATCCCCGCCACAGACTGCATATTATTTGGCAGTAATAATGCATTTTTCCGCAAAGATTTTATTTATTCAGTTTTTTGGTTTAGAAAAATCAAAATTATATATCAATTTGTTATATAATTTTTTTGTTATTGCATTCAATGTATTATTTGAATTTTTAGTAGTAATAAAACGGTTAACGAATGCAAAAGTCCGGCAAATCATGCCTTTTTAGGACATTATAGTTAAAATATAATTAATTTATTAAACGTGTGAGTGTTGGACACTATGACACGGCATGCAATCGACAACATTATGCACAGGTATTTGGAGTGGAAATGAAGCAACTTTTCAATATAGGAGTCACACATGTATTGGTAGATGACATGCAGTCTGTCTTTGTTGTGGGGAAACAAATGTTTCGGGAAATTGTATTCAAAAAGTTTGCAATGAATTTGATTGCACTTTAAATGGACCGACAGTTAGGACTGAGAAGAGAGTATCAGAAAAAGCAATCGTAAAACTAATAGCCTTTTCAATGGCACACATTCGAGGACCGGATTAATCGGTATTTAGTATTCAATTTAATTATCAATCATTTCAGGCATAAAGTAGTCGACAGTTAAAAATGCATAAAAATAGAGTTAATTATAATATACAGCGGAATCTATAATTGTATATATATTGTTAATTACAGCTAAATTCATGAGACATTCAAATCAATTGACAAAAATTGATTTCAATTTGTAAATAACATTTTAATTCTCTTTATTCGACTGTATATTATATTTAATAATTGATATAAACTTTTAAAATTCAATCAATAAAATTGTTTCATAAATATATGTTTCGGTAATCACTGGACGGAAGACATGGGGGAAGAAAAATGTCAACAAATTCTGAAGAAATGTGAATTAAAATCTAATTCAAAGAAAAAATTACTCGATTTTGTGATTAACATTATCACGAAAGTTAGGGCTCCGACGCCATGACTGCATACGTTTGGCCTGAATTTCAATCATAATTACAATTAATTTTTCGTATTTTGTTTCAACAATTATTTGGTGTTTTTTAGATATTGGGAAATGGTTTGTGTTTTAGAGATTGATTTGGCATTAATTTGTTTCCATAAGTATTTCGTTTAGTATTAGAATTCAATATTACTTCTCGTCTAATGGATCACTACATTAGGAACTAAACCAATTATTGGGAAATGGTTTGTGTTTTAGAGATTGATTTGGCATTAATTTGTTTCCATAAGTATTTCGTTTAGTATTAGAATTCAATATTACTTCTCGTCTAATGGATCACTACATTAGGAACTAAACCAATAATAACTAAACAAAACAATTGTCATACTCTTGAGCCGATGTCTGAGCCGTCGGTCGACACCGACTGAAGCAATTGAGACGATGGCGACGAACTGTTTGTGGTCGACCTCTGCTCCTGGACTGACGCCAATCTATTCAATACAATCAAACAAACGTTTAAATATGAATACATATGAATCAATCAATATATTAATACCTCTTGAGTGTAACCAAAGTTCCGGTAAGTTTTTTGCACCTTTTGAGCGCTGTCTCAAGCCTTTCGGGCTCTTCCTTCAAAAATCTATACAAAAAACACACCATTTATTAGAAATAAATGCAATAATTTCCACAATAATGTCTCAATACTTCTCTTCGCGGACACAACACTCCATCTCTTGACTCATAACAGACTTTAGCGTTTGGTTTAGGGGTGGGAATCGGTTCTTGAGATCGGCCACCGTTTTGGAGGCCCGCGAGAGCACTAACGCCATGGTCTCGACGTGTGACATATTGACGCGACACCTCCTGTTTATCACATTAGAGCGCAACTCTTCCACCTGTGTCTCCAACTCGTGGAGGTCTTTGTCGAGCCGACACACGTCGTGACCATAACTGTCCCTTTCCTGCGATATTCGCATTCTCTCCAATCGGAACTGACAGTCGGACGAACCGGTGATGAACGCCAGCGTTGTCTTAATCTTATTGCATGTGTCGCGCAGTGTCTCCTTCGCGTTGGAGGTCTGCTGGAGGGCCAGTCGTCTGAGCGACCGAACCTCTCCGCGCAGGTCTTTCGTCTTTTTGCGGATTTGTTTCAATTGCGACAACATATCAGTGGTTATGTGTAGCGGCAGTTCACCCCTATAGCCAACCAGTGCCGCCGGTTTGGGCGGTGGCGCCGGCTTTCCCGACTTGTCTAGTGATCGCAAATGTAAACAATTTATTAAAACAAAGAGTCGTTAAATGCAAACAATAATAAAAATAAAAAAATTTGTCTCACATTTTCCAATATTCAATAAAAATTAATTTAAAAAATTACCACAATTTCTATTCACTTAAGTCTTAAGTATCGAAAAAAATGATACCAAAAGAGAGAAAACTCATTGACAGAAGTGTTTGTATGAGTTGTTTGTGTGAAAATAGATATATAAAAGAGGAGTTGTTATAAAACCTGTGGTCGATAGAGTTGTTCGCGACTTAATGGCTGGCTTTGCGGGTCTTTCGGCTAAAATTAGTCGTTCAAAGAAAGAGAGAGAAAATACATAACTGAAAGGACGGAACACAATCAGAGCTATCATTTATAATTACAATAGTGTTTAAAGAAACCGTTTTCTCATCAATTAAAGTAATCTATGGTTTTTAAAAACACACAATTATTTCACAACAAAACAAATAAACTTTTTTAAAACGGAAACAATTCATGCATTGAATGAATGAAAAGTAATTATCAAACGATAAGCCAAAGGGAAGGGAAGAAACACATGGTATATAATAAAGAGGGGAAACAAATAATTAAAACGTTTAATTAGGAGGTGTTAGTGAGAGAAGACAATAACCTGCGCGCTGTGGGCAATGTATGAACTGATCCGAGTCTGAGGCCTCTTCAGAAAATGATACGGATTTCTCTTCTATGGGTAATCATAACATTCATCAGTCATTCATTCAAATCACGGCAAATAATTTTCGTTAAAAACAAAAAAGTAAAGCATTTATAGTATACTAAAACCGAAGCGAATGTCGAGAAATGAAAACATAACTAATTTTATTAAATAACCAAAAAATTAATAACAGAAAGTGATTGGAAAGCAATGGATGATTGACTACCTTTGAAGTGTTGTCTCTGAATTTGTGCATTTGTTAAATTGCAATCAATTTCATTAGTTTCTACATCTGATTCTTCATCTGCAATACCGAATCAAACGTTAAATCCAAACACAAATCGCTTTTGAATATATAGTATATTTAGTTAATTAACCAAAAGATTTAAAACTCTTAATCGCATGCCTTTCGAGTGAATTAAACAACAAAAGCAATCATAATATTAGATAATGTGTACAAAATGTAATGAATGGGATATTTAGAGATTAAGTTCATCGTAAACACAATGAAATCGTGTAATGAATTTTTCATTAGTTTTGAATTAAAACAAAACAAACAAATTAATAATTATTGTAAGATTTTTGTGTTAAAAATTGTTGAATTAAAACTAATTATAATAAATATGAAAATGAGTTTTTGATTGGAATTAATGTGAAAACAGATCAAAAAGATATAAACAATTAAAATATAAAACTAATGGTAATTAAAGACAAACCGGATTTCATGCTTTGCGCGGGTGTTAGAGCTTTGGACACAACATTGGTTAGGCTAACGATCTGTCTCTCCATTTGTTGCATCCGGACTCTGGCCTCTTCGTCGATGACAGGTGTGGCGGCACCCGATCTCATGCCGTATACGCCGTACGGGTCCTCGAACTGCATCGCCGACGAGGGATAGCCCGAGAAGGAGGACCTGACGTGAGTTTGATTCTCGTGAGGCATTCGCCGCTCGGGTGACGACAGGTAACCGGAAAAGTCCTGCCCATAGGCGGGCGTCGGGTAGTGACCGGCGACCGAATACGGCCGGTCAGGAAGCGGCCGATTCTGATGGTATTGCGGGCCAACCATTGACGGCGAGTTCATATTCTGGGTCGGAGGTAGTGCTGAACGGGAGGCGAATGAACGCTGAGGTTTGGGCGGCGGACCCGTTGACATCATTTGACCTTCAGTTTCGGGTGAATACAAGTTAATAAAAGCATTTCCAAATAATAATACTGTAATACAGTTGTAGTAATGAGTGAAATGAAATCAAATAGAAAACAACTAAAAGCAAAAGCAAAGTACGAAAACAAGACAATGATATGTAAATGATTAACCGATGGGGTCTTTAGGCCGTGGCTTTTGTATCAAATCGGGAGACACCGGGCGTTGCGTTGGCGACGGCGCCACTGAACTCGGCGATTGGTTTTGGTTAATATTGTTAGTATTGTTGGCATCGTTTACATTGCCGTAAAGTGACATAATGTGGGCGTTTCGGGGAAGGGTTTGCGAATAGCCTTTAAAAGCAGTGAACAATACAAACAATGAGAGGCCGGATATTAATGAATTGCTTGAAAAATCACTTTTTAATGTTAGCGTTAATGAAAAATGAATGCAAGCCTACAAGTCATATATGTTTAGCCATTTCTGTGATCAAACAAATAACACAAAAAATAATAATTACCCGGAAATGGTTTCCGTTCGGGCGGTTGAGGAGCCGGCTGTGCGGCGCCGCCGTATGACGGCTGCCGGCCGACCATAACCTGCTGTCGATACTGAGCGGGCAATATAATAGTGCCGTAATACTGGGACTGTCCGCCAGTGGTGGGCAGGGGTTTGTCGGCCACGATGGGACCCCTTTTGCCGCGATGTATGTGTTGGGACTGGTATTCCGACTCAAACTCCGGTTCGGAAAAGTAGCCAAACTGTTCGCTGTCGGACATAACGGGCATATTTGCGTGACCGCCGACCGGCTGCGGGCCATTCACGCCGTGCTCGTAGATCCGCAGTACACACCGGTCGCGGATATCGCGGAAGTCCTCCAACTCGTAGAACATGTCTTTGGATCCGTCGTGAATGTAGATCCGTATCACCGAACAGTCCAAGTACTCCATCGATAGCTGCCGTGGAAACGATCTGTTCGTACGGATAGATAAAAATCAGATAAAAACACATTTTACTCTTCGTTTTGAACACAAAACACATTAATCAGTGAAAAGTGTGTTATATTTAAAGCAACAAAAATGCGTAAAACGAGATAAAAAACACTAATTTAATGAACGCTTAAAACTTTTTAAAGACTTTCCTATCCTCTCATTCAGAGCTAAAGCGAGTCTTAAAATAGTTGTTAAAATTAGTCTCTCGTGACTACAAGAGTGGATAATATGTGGTAAACCTCTCATCAGATAAACAACAAATTAAATAAACATAACAAACATAACCAACACTTCCTAACAATGTATATAATCAACTAAAAGCCATTCACTAATCACAATAAAAGTGGTGAATACTATATAAAACAACATTGCATTACATAAACAACTCATACACTAATAGATGAGACACTAAATAAGGAGATGTAGATCAGGACAGAGACAGACAAACAGATAGAAACTGGCGGTGCGTTTGCGGTGCCATTACCTGACGAAGAGTGCTTTGACGGTGTCTAATGACGTGATTTCATTGGGCAGAAGCGCTCTCTTGGTCTCGGAGCGGAACTGCAGGAACACGAGTCCGAGTGAGCGGTCCTGAGTCTTGGAGGGCGTCCTCACGATCGGCAACGAAGAGCGCGCTTTATTGCCGCGTCTGAATCCGGTGGCGGAGGTCTCGATCTCAGACATAATGCCCGGATCCTCATCGAAGAGTGTGGACGACGGCTGGTATACGAACCGCTCAAACGGTGTCGCACTCGACGGTCGCTGAGGCAGCTGTTGATACTGTGGTGGTTGTTGTGGTTGTTGTTGCTGTTGATGGTGTTGTTGCAGCTGCTGGTGATGATTGTTGGCCACCACGTGGTTCATCCGTCGCGGACCACCGCCGGCACCGACACCTCCGCCACCACCTCCTCCTCCACCGCCGCCGACGCCTCCACCGCCTCCTGAGTGAGCGTTAGATGAAGAACAACATGAGAGTCGAGACAACAGTTTGACAACACTTTGGGGTTAATTGTGATGAAAAACAACACTTGTTTTTGAGACACAACTAAACAAAACTAAAAACTAACGCAAATTCATGGGAAAAATCTCAACACTATTTGTATGACAACAACACAACTGTCTGTTAGAGAAAAACCATTGCTTTTTAAAAAGCTATGCTATTTCTCGCAGTCACGTGACTTCGAGGGTAACTATTATTATAGACAGTGTATTGTGAGAGAGAGTGTGTGTCTGTGTGTTGTGTATGACTCGTAAGAATGTATACCAAAAATAATAGGGCTTTCGCTTTACTCTCTCTCTCTCTTTCTCACTGTATTTGTGCCACAATTGATGGCAATAGCGCTGCGATAACAGGCACTGGTATAGGGGGTGCGCGCGCTCACCACAGGTGCCCGCATACTGTATTACATTCACTGAATCGCCCCCTATTAGACATTAGCGCTTATTATTGCATGCTAAACAGTGTCAGGTAGTGCCAGGTTAGATAACATGTATGTTTGGCCCATTACCTTGGTCATCCCAAATGAAAAAGCACTTACAGCTTAGTTAACGCATTGTACTGTGCAATACAAATGCGATACAGAAGTGAATTACATAACATCTTATATAATATACATCTTTATGTCTCTCTCTCTCTCTCTCTCTCTCTCTC